CAAAGCAGAGTGCAGGAGCTGACAGGGGGAAAGAACTGTATTGGTTACATTCTGTTCTCTCCCCATCGATCTCCGGGTGCTGGCAAGTAATCACCCAGTGACTGATAGCGAGGCCGCAAATGGCCTCCCCTACCCGGAACTGCAAAATCACGTATATATAACGTGATTTTGCAACACCCATGCCACCCTGTTAGCAGTATTTCAGCTATGGGTGTGGACGGGAAGGGAAGCGGTTGATATATATTACAATTTTATTTATTTATTTTACAGCCCGGCAGAGGGGGAGGATCTGTAACAGGCTGACAGCTAGTGGGAGGGAGAAGAGAGGAGAAAAAGTCAGCAGCAGGGGAAGGGGGAGGTACACAGAGAAATCAGAGGTGTGGGAAAGGAGGAGGGGTTGTCGGATCATGGGAGCGCACATGATCAGAGCATCGGGGAGGCACAATTACTTGAACCATTCCTCCTCTGATTCCCCATGTAGCAGCTGACAACAGGTGAGTGAGAGAAGAGGATAAGCCATCTATGTTGTAGGGGGACCATATGGGGATCGGTTCCAGTAATTGTGCCCCCTCCCCCATGCCCTTCCGCTGCTCTGGTGATACTACTCCCCACAGGGGGTGAAGATTTATTAGAATGTGACTTTTGGGCACTGGGCTCCGTTAGTGGCACTTTCCTTACCACTATGTACTCTGTTGGTTGGCTGCAGATCTCTCTCTCCAGTTTCTAAGCAAATGTATATGTTCAGTGTACCATGGTCTCTCATCTCTCTGTTTGTAAGTATGCCTTGGTGAATATGTCTTTGTCAGGGTCAACAATACCCTGGTATGTGACACTGAGCATTATACTCTGCATGTGGAACTTTCTTTACCCTTGCTTACTGTGTCAATTAACCACAGAGTGCTCTTCAGTAACAAAGCAGGAATACATTTTGGTGTATCTAATCCTCTGGTATATCCATGTGTAGGTATGCCTTTGTAAGTATGCCTCTGTAAGGGAGAACAGTTTCTTGCTATATTAAAGGATAAGTTCACCTTACCTTACCTTTGCAGGCAAAAAAATGTGCATTTACTTTTTGTTTTAGGAGCCTGGAAAGCATTGCACCCAGTGATCAGCAGTTCGCTGGTGTCATGCAGGTCTCCTGCAGACTGTCAGTGTGATCTGTCTGCTTGTACCTCCTATGAGCAGACAGTTTTACACTGACAGGAAGAATCAAAGAACTACCACAGTACTCAGCAGCCTCAAAGGCTGTCGGGACTTGTAGTCTTCCCATTCACAGATCACTTAAAATTGTACCACCTAGCAGGTTGAGGCGATCCCCCACTAGCTGTCACAACAGGGGACCAATGGGTGCAGGGGTTGGTACAATTGTAACATGTTACACCCTGAATCAGCAAAGGGACAATCAGCACTTTCCAGACAGAGGGTCAGGGGTCCTGCAGCCTCATAGGACAATCAGGGAAGAATGAAAATTCCTCCTACAAGCTCTAATCAGTGTTCTGCTGGACACTGATAAAAGTCTCAAAACTTTAGATAATTGCATTTTCATAATCTGTGTACTGTGGGAGACCAGATATAGTGAATGCAGGGTCCTGGGTTTAGTAACACTTTAACCACTTGCCGTCCGCCTGCTGTATTAAACGGCAGGGCGGTGGCACTCCAGGGGCGGGTTGCCCTTCATAAACGGCACCCACTATTTCTAGTTGTGCGCGCTCCCTGGGAGCGCGTAGCACCACGATCCGGTGCCCGCTGTGTTCTCCGGACACAGTGAAACACTGATCGTCGGACGGGACCTCTGTACGAGGTCCCGATCATGTGATCACTGATTGGCCAATCAATGATCACATGCAAAGTAGTAAGCAAGATGTCACTTGTGACATCATTGCTTACTACGTGTGAAATCTGTGAATGATCACAGAGGTCACATGGTACAAGGCTATTCACAACAGCCTTGTACCATGTGACAAGCTCTGACCAATCACAGCTCACACAGTATTTCTCATGGCTGCAAGAATGCAGACAGAGAGAAAGAGAAATGATTGCTTTTGCATCCTATATGGGTGTAAAAGCAATCACTGTAAAAGAAAAAAATCACTCCCCACAAGTAGTACAGTGTCACCATGGTGACACTGTACTGCTAGGGTGACGGTATGTAAAAAAAAAACCCCAAAAAACATAAATAATAATATAAAAAAATAAAATAAAAATGTAAAAAAAAGTTTAAAAATTATAATTTTTGGTTATAACTAATTTGGCGTATTTTGTTTTTTACTAAAAAGATAACGGAATAAATTTTGGCCAATATTTATGATGAAATATTATTTATTTGCAAAATTTTATAAGAAAAACACTTTTTTCTAAATTTTTGGACATTTTCATTTATATAGCAAAAAAAATTAAAATCCCAGCGGTGAATAAATACCACCAAAATAAAGCTTTATCTGTCTCAAAAAATGGTTAAAAATGCATATGGGTACAGGTTGCATGACCGTTGCATGACCGTGCAATTGTCATTCAAAGTGTGATAGCGCTGAAAGCTGAAAATTGCCCTGGACAGGAAGGGGGCAAACGTGTCTGGACAGGAAGTGGTTAAGCAGAATGTTATACTGTGCTTGCATCACTTTCCTTGTGTACTCTGTTACACAGAGTGTAATTCAGCTCAGAATAACAGTACCCATATACTGTATGTATCTGTGTCTGATCCCTCCATGTGTCAGAAGCTGTACAATGGAGCCAATTTGCCACAGAGCATTTTTCCCTTCAGAGAAAGAGTATATGCTTGGTGTACACTAGTCTCTGCTTCCTACATTCATAATGCACCTTGACATCATACCCCTGTCAGTTGTAGATGTAGCACCCTCCTAGGTAGCTAGGGGAGCTAGATGATAATTTTTAAGTTTGAGGCTGAGAAGCATCCTGGTGGATTAGTCAGAGGGGTAAAATTTTGGTCAGGACTGATAGGCCCTGCAGACCAGCTCTCTGGAACCTCTCCCTGATCTAGAGGCTTAGAGAAGTCTCTAGAATTCAGTGGGCGGGGGTGAGGTATCCTGGCCGATCCCCAAGCAGGAGGCTTGGCATGGGGTCAGGACAGCCCTTAAGTGTGACCAAGCCAGCTCAGCAGCATGAGAGTTCAGGTGGAAGATGGATTAAGTAGAATGGTGCATGGAGCCTGGGAGGGGATCCAAGAGAGGGGCCTGCCTACAGGTGTAGGAGCTGATAGGGAGGATCTCTCAACCTCACCATCCCCTGAGAGAGGACAGCCTGGGAAGCAGGGAAGGAGCCAGCCCAGCGTAAGGCCTGAAGGCAGACACCAACCCACAAGCTTGCAGGAGAGACTGAGTGAGTAACCCCACACCCTCTGGGCCGGATAAGAGGAGAAGGCAATGGGGTGTGTTAGGGATCCGGGTATGACCAGAAATGTGTGGGAACACAGGTGTAGTCAGGGCTGGAGAGGTGGAATGGTCAGGTAGGCCGTTAGGTACTGTACAGGGCGCGGGGTCTAAGCCCCAATCTGCTTATTCACCAGGGCCCCTGATGGTGGGGATGGACTTGGAGCAGACTGAGACCAGGTCGCGACCCCTGAGTACTTCCGGCAATGGTAAAGAGCGTCGTCAGAGGTGTGTGGGGAAAGGAGACTGACGTGAGGAGGATGACAGACCTGGCAACAGGGACAGATCCGTGTGGGATGGATGGATAGATCATCTGGGTAGCGTCAGGCGTAGTCAGGCAGGCCAGGTCAGCAACGTGCGGGCAGCGAGGTACCGGAGGAGCAGGCAGAGAATAGTCAGGGTCACAAGCCGGGTTCAGTAACTCACGGGCAGCGCGGTACAGAGGATCAGGCTGAAGGATGGTCAGGCAAGCCAGGGGTTAAACAGGAGACAGTCAGCAGAGGTCAGGATTAAAGCAGGGTCAGCAACTAGGCAGATAGGCAGGAACACAGGATACCAAGTACAGGGGCTCATGGGAAACAATACACCAAGGTACTGACTGCAGGTCTGGCCATTCCTTAAATACACCTCCTGCAATCAGCCTCAGGTGATGGCTGATTGCAGGAGTGAGCTTCTGGTTGCTGAGAGCACCCGCTGGCCAGCCCTGGTACTGCAGCCCACACGGCAGGTGAGTCCCACCACCAGTGGTGAATCCATTCCTGACAGTACCCCCCCCCTCAAGGAGCGGCCTCAGGACGCTCCAAACAGTCCTTAGTGAGCAAAATGTTCAACCGCCCCCGGTCAGGTAACTGGCTGAATATCCTACTGCCGGAGTCAACTGGCTGGCTGGGTTTCCTGCTGGTAGACTTCTGTTTGTGTAGGAGAACCCAGGAAGGCAGGTTACTGGACACAGGATCTCCAGGAGCAGGCTGAGAAACAGTTATTGGCCAGTTTAGCTGGACATCAGGGGCTGGCACGTCAGGCTGGGCAGCAGCGGAGGCACGTCAGGCAGGGCAGCGGACAGAGGCACGTCAGGCTGGGCAGCGGACAGAGGCACGTCAGGCTGGGCAGCGGACAGAGGCTTGTCAGGCTGGGCAGTGGGCACAGAGTCGTCTGGCACGACAGCGGGCACCGAGTCACCAAGCTCGACAGAGGGCACCGAGTCACCAAGCACGGCAGCGGGCACGAGTCATCTGGCACGACAGCGGGCACCGAGTCACCAAGCTCGACAGCGGGCACCGAGTCACCTGGCACGGCAGCGGGCACCGAGTCACCTGGCACGGCAGCGGGCACCGAGTCACCTGGCACGACAGCGGGCACCGAGTCACTAAGCTCGACAGCGGGCACCGAGTCACTAAGCTCGACAGCGGGCACCGAGTCATCTGGCAGAACAGCGGGCACCGAGTCACTGGCACAACAGCGGGCACCGAGTCATCTGGCTCGACAGCGGGCACCGAGTCATCTGGCTCGACAGCGGGCACCGAGTCATCTGGCTCGACAGCGGGCACCGAGTCCTCTGGCACGACAGCGGGCACCGAGTCCTCTGGCACGACAGCGGGCACCGAGTCATCTGGCACGACAGTGGGCACCGAGTCACCAGGCTCAATAGCGGGCACCGAGTCACCAAGCTCGACAGCGGGCATCGAGTCATCTGGCTCGACAGCGGGCACCGAGTCCTCTGGCATGACAGCGGGCACCGAGTCATCTGGCACGACAGTGGGCACAGAGTCACCAGGCTCAATAGCGGGCACCGAGTCACCAAGCTCGACAGCGGGCATCGAGTCATCTGGCACGACAGCGGGCACCGAGTCACCAAGCTCAACAGCGGACACCGAGTCATCTGGTAGAACAGCGGGCACCGAGTCACCAGGCCGGACCACGGGCACCGAGGCACCAGGCCGGACCACGGGCACCGAGGCACCAGGCCGGACCGGGTCATCAGGCTAGATCGGGTCATCAGGCTGGATCACGAACACCGGGTCATCAGGCTGGATCGGGCCATCAGGCTGGATCGGGCCATCAGGCTGGATCGGGCCATCAGGCTGGATCGGGCCATCAGGCTAGTTAGCGGGCACCAGGTCATCAAGCAGGATAGGATCATCAGGCTGGGTGGATCATCAGGCCGGATCGGGTCATCAGGCTGGATCGGGTCATCAGCCTGGATCACGAACACCGGGTCATCAGGCTGGATCGGGTCGTCAGGCTGGATCGGGTCGTCAGGCTGGATCGGGTCGTCAGGCTGGATCACGACCACCAGGTCATCAGGCTGGATCGGGTCATCAGGCTGGATCGGGTCATCAGGCTGGATCGGGTCATAAGGCCGGGTAGGATCATCAGGCTGGGTAGCGTACACTGGGTCATCAGGCATCCGGGCATCAGGCTGAACAGCGGGCACCGGGGCACCAGGCTGGATAACAGAAGGCGGGTTCTCAGACTGCAGGCTGACCGGTTTGGATACTGGCAGGATGGTACTGGTTGGAAAGAATTTTTGCTTCTTCCTGGTTTTAGTTACTGGAGCACTGTAAGTAGACGCAGGTCTGTAAACAGATGGAGCAACTGAAGACAGAGAAGAGCTGGAGGATGGAACAGAGGAAGGAGCAGTTGCTACAGAGGGCTTCTTTACAGGATTAAAGGCAGGATAGGTGCAGCGAGTGGGAACAGGGTTCTGACATGTGGTTGATAGCAGGGTATACTGGGCTGTCACTGGGGGTGCTGTCGGGAATGCAGGAATAGAGCTTTGCAGAAATAGATTAGAAGCAAGACTGGGTTGTTGCAAGCTGACTGAGGCTGGGTATAACAAATCTGACCATATCTGTAGTACCAGTTGAACAAAACTCAGCTTACACATAGCCTGTCTGACCAAAGACTGCACTGCATTTATACAATCCATAAGCACATATGATGGACAAGCTGCATAATGCTGTCAGGAATGGACTCAGCACTGGTGGTGGGAAATATTTTATTTTGTAATGTAAGCTTACAAAACCACCCAACTAAACTCTTTTTTTACAAAAGTACAAAAAAATTGCAAATAAATAAATAAATAAGTACAAACATAATCACTACGCATAACTGAAAGTCCAGAATTTCCTGGGGAAAGAAACAGCAAACCATATGGCTTTAAATGGCCCAAACATAAGAGTCCATAACCTTGCAAAGAAGGCATATACATCCAGACCTATATAGTCATGGAGGAGACAACAGCCCGACACTCCATTGAGCAGGACAACAGGCCCAATGCCCCCAACATGTATCTACAAGGCCTTTATGGCCAAAAAATTTAGCCACCATGCATAACTAAAAACCCAGAACTTCCTGGGGAAAGAAAAACATAGAATATGGCATATGACCTATGGCCCATTACATAAGAGTCCATACATAAGAGTCCATAACCTGCAAAGAAAAAGGACATATGCAACCAGACCTATACGGACATGAGAGAAGACAACAGGCCCGACACCCCACAAAGCAGGACAACAGGCCCAATGCCCCCAACATGTATCCACAAGGCATTTATGGCCCAACACAAATATAATCACACTATACGTGACAGAAAGTCCAGAATTTCCTGGGGAAAGAAACAAGCATAATTACCACAACACATGGCTTTAATGGCCCAAAAATAAGGGTCCATAACCTGCAAAGAAAGAACATATGCCTCCAGGCCTACATAGTCATGAAGGGAACAACAGGCCCGGCGCCCCCACCATGGATACACAAGGCCTCTATGGCCTATATGGCCAAACCCAAAAGGATCAAATACAATTTCCAACCTCCTGCTGCAAAAGGCCTTTACGCCTAAATCCAAGACTCAACCAAGAACCCACCAAGATAGATAATACAAAACTCCAAGAGGAAGACTAAAAAATACAGACCCTCAGTACCTCCAACCTTTCTTCAAAAAACAAATCCACAACTACGAAAAACCTAAGGGGGTGCAAAGAGAAGAAACAGGAATAGCTACCACCACCGGAGATCAACAGGCAGCAGCTACAGGCCGATGTTCCTCCACGCCTCCAACCAAGTCTTTCGCCGCCACCGGTCTTTCTCAAGACCCCGAATTTTCCCAACCTCACCAAGAATGCCACACACCACCACCTGGACAGGGAGGACTTTTTTCCGAATGGAAACCTGACACTGTGCATTTCACGTGTAATAACGGACCACTAACTAACTAGAAACAAGGGCCCTGATTCACTAAGATGTGAGTGTAATAGCAGAGACTGACCCATCAGGCAGACTCCGGTCAAACAATCAGTCGTCTGACCAGCGTCTAGCAAGCTCATTGACGAGCGTCTATTGACTACTTTGCTATCACTGGCACATTTTTAGGTGCAATACCGATATGTTCGCTAGATGGCGCACAAGCGCGGGCTTTATTTACATTGGCGTTTTCATGATGGCAAAAGAATTCTTAGAATGTTATAAATACACCTGTACACCTGTATTAGAATTTTCTATTTTCTTCTATTTATTTTCTTGCTGTTGAATGTCATACATTCTGTACTCAATGTTAAACATTTACACACTTATATCTCAAAATAATTTTATA